GCTTCTGCCTAGACCACTTGTCATACTTCAGATTACTGGGATTATGAAGAAGTCCCTTGTATCATCGATCGGCCTAAAGCAACTTACACTGCTGCACATTTATGCTATGTACGACGGTGTGGCGCAAGTATGTACTGATGTATCTACGACGTCGCGTACCTCCGCCGCAGCCTTTGTCACCCCGCAGATGAAGATAGCTCGGAGTTTCAAGAGAGATCACAAGACCACATCAACAGCTGCGGAACTTGTTGCTATTCGGGAGGCAATACGTTTCATGTAGACAGAACCCGCTCGTAAATGGACGATACTGTGCGATGCCAAAGCTGCTCTTCAAACCATCGATGGCTTCATGGGGCAAGGTCCATATAATACTTTATCTATTGAAATAGCAGAGCTTCTTGGCATTGCTACAAAAAATGGACATCATGTAACATTTCAATGAATACCTGCTCATTGTGGCTTAATGGGCAATGAAGAGGCAGACGCTGAATCTAAGAGAGCTTTAAATAGTGCCCTGGTAGTGTGCATCGCATTTTCTCGACAAGATACTAACATCCTACTTCGACGCGTAATGCGCAACTCCATCTTAGAGCACTGGCAGAAACCAGGACACCAGCCCAAGCGGCTGCACAAATGGGACCCGGAAATGAAGTTCCGTATGCCTCACAAGTTGAAGCGATGTATCTCATGCATTATCAACCGCATTCGTCTCGGTGTGGCTTACACGAGACGTTACACCCACTTGATTGGCTGTACTGACACAGGTCCCAATTGTGATCACTGTCGGTTGCCAGAAACGCTCGAACATATATATTGCAACTGTCCAGCGTATGCAAGCGAACGTCAGCAACTGATATCTTCGATTGGCCGATATATTAGTCGACCATTAACCGATGAGGTTCTGTTAGGTCCTTGGCCTGACGCCAGCTGCACACATATGGTTATACGAGCCATCATTGCTTTCTTAGAGGCCACTGGACTGGATGCACGTCTGTAGAGTTACCCAGCTTAATAAGAATATATCATCTATCTACCTTACCATCGTCCTTCATCACTCTTTCACTCCCCAGTCACCTTTCCCCAGTAGAGAGTAGCAGGTCAGAGCAAACTATAGCTCAGGCTGACCTCTCTACCTTTCTGTAAATAAACTCTCTCTCGACCACCTGAAGTTATTTAACGTGCGCCCAAATCTGAGCACACGGGCCTACAACATTTCCGCCTCCGTCTGAAATGCAGCCGCCACAGCCGGGATTTGATCCCGCGACCTGCGGGTCAGCAGCCGAGCACCTTAGCCACTAGACCACCGCGGCGGGGTGACCTTTCCATCTTCGCCCAAATTAAGGTGCCAGGCACTTCATATGCTTCTTCCGGTGCTCGAATCAGCAGCGGCCGGTTCAAGGGCGATCGCGAGCTTCTCAGAAAAATTACCGCACAATGTTTGCAAGGGGTCGTTCGTTTATCCGCAGGTTGCCAACATCGTCTATATATATATCCAAATGTCATTTCTGCTATGCACAGTTTGCATCTTGAACAAAGGGCAGACGCATCTATGTAGGAGACATATACAATCTGAAATTTTTAATGTTTTTTGTTTTTTGTATTCGAGATTATGTATGCTGATTGTTCACGACCCATGTTATATAATCCGTTTGGTCGAAATGCTTTCATTCACATTACTGCAGTGTTTTCGGGACAGGGTAAATATTATTTATGTCATAAGGATATCTTTTCGTGAAATTATTCATAAGCTACGCACTAATATTAGTTAGAGACATGCATGCACCCATATTTGCTCCTAGATGGATGCCTTACGAGACTCTGGCTATTTGCTACAACACCTTCGTGGCTGTATTACTAATAAACCGCTCTAAGAGATGCGTTCCCCTAAAAAGGAGCCGTTTTTTACCCTATTTATCAAACAAGCTTCACATCACACATTAATAGTATTTGCATGTTTCTCCTTTTACACAGGAGGTTATACGATGGCTATGCTAAAGAAAACACATGTAGCACAACGAACAAAGCAGCAGCCGATTCATGTATTTGGGACCCATTAGTTGATGCAAAAGTCTCACAGGGTCCCTTGTGTTTTCACCCTGGGTTCAAATCCCGGCTGCGGCGGCTGCATTTTCGATGGAGGCGGAAATGTTGTAGGCCCGTGTGCTCAGATTTGGGTGCACGTTAAAGAACCCCAGGTGGTCGAAATTTCCGGAGCCCTCCACTACGGCATCTCTCATAATCATATGGTGGTTTTGGGACGTTAAACCCCACATATCAATCAATCAATTGTGTTTTCACCCAAGATGGTCAAAAAGTGAAAGCCATCCTCTTGGTTTTTTTCTTCTCAGTCGATGTCACATCACGTGAAGACATCATATGACATCTTCATGCTGCATGAAGTGTTTCATGACAGCTTCATGACGTCATCGCATAAAGATTTTTGCGTAATTTTGCGCTGCTGATGGTCAGTATTCGTATTTGATGACGCTTCTCCCGCTTCCGGCTAGTTAACATCAATTGAGCAGGAGAAGTCTTTGCTCACATTGTGGCGTAACCTTCTCAAATACATATAGACAACGTAACCTTCTGTCCTTCATAAAGCTTCACTATGGCTACTATAGTGACTTATATTGTTATTCGGTCCCTATTTCCGGCAGGACAGTGTAGTTCTGAATTTGAAAATTTTGAAATCTATTCTGTAAATATGTTGATTTACGAAAAGTTCAATACTTGATTAGTCAATTGAAAGCTTCGAATATTCGTGAAAGCTTGCGTTCCCGTCTCACAACGGCTTTATTCGCAGCCATGTGCTAGTAGCATAATTTATGAACGCAGCTTCATACCAACTCTCGTGTCAGCCTAAGTACGTGATGGCAATTTCGAAAGCATGCCGGGGAAAGTTATGAATAAACTGAAGGAATCAAGGACGAATCGGCCCATAGTGCACTCACCGATTCCTATCTGCCAAAGCAGGAGATACCAGGTGGACGCAGAAACTAAACTAGGCGGACGAGAAGCTATCGAATCACATGATCCTTCAGTTTTGAAGCCGGTGTAACATGTCTGAAAAATAAAGCCAAAAGACACCCAAAAATGTTCTGACGAAGATGGTGGCTTAAATATGATTACGGAATAAAAAAAAAGCAGTGATGAAAAAATTGAAAAAGTTGCGATGAGTTCTGCATGGACCACTTCACCTGTGCGGAATAATAATGTGCCACACAGACTACGAAATAAAGAAGGGTAAACGCATTCGCGACACATTGAAGGGCTTCGTTGAAACGAATAAAAGTGTATTTTAACTAATCAGACACCGTATTTGTAACAGTATATGAATTCCTATTTTATTTAATAACTAATAGGGTAGCCCTTCCCCGAAGGTGGTGAGAATAACTTTCTTGTATTACTTAAAAAAAATTCACAATTAGGTGGTACTGCTGGCGAGAAACTAACTACACGACAAAACGCAGTGCAGTGTTGAAGAGTGTTAAAAATTAGGAGGTAATGAAAAAATAGAGAGAGGGGGAGAGAAACAGCGATACGCTGACGTACAGAACCCGTGGAATACCAACTGTGTGATTGTACCATGTGTTTCCTCGACGGCGTAACCTTGGTTACACTGATGTGAATTCTGATCAGTCGTTCTGCGCGCGCATTAACGTTTCACGCTCGCCCGTCGAACGCAGACCTTCTTCACTTTAAGCAGGGCACGTGCAACAACCGGCGTATATAGCGATGCCCCTGCCAAATGCATCTCCAGTACATTAAATCCATCTCAGCCGGACCTGCCTGCTTCTTGATACACATTCACGCTTAGCTGATTAGCGTCACGCAACGTAACGCTTAGCGGGCCTTGTGCCTCTTCCCGTACGAGATGCCATGTGCCTGGGGGCTTTCCCCTTCGCTACGCCGGGTGTTCTCTGCTCGCGCGGAGCGGGCCTCCTTCTGGCGTCGAGGAGGAGAACCTCCTCCGCTGCCCCTGCCGCGCACAGCACCCCCTCTCTTCCGTGAGCGGCTTCGGAGGAAGCTCCCGTGGAAGAAGACCCCGCCAGCCAATCACCTGCCCCTGGGCCATGCATCAGCATCACCATCACTTAACTGCCCTCCCCACATCCGAGCAGGCGGCCGGAGTGGCATCCTCGGCTGCAGAAGCCGGCTGCTCTGCCGACGACTCCGTGGCGGACGTCTCCTAGTGCACCGCCAACTCTCTCGCTTCGTCACCTTCCCTCGTGGACAATTTCGCCCGGTGCTCCGTCGGCTGGAGTGTCTCTCCTCGAGAATCGTCTTTCAGCTTATAGTGCTGAAATAGAGCCTCCTCAATTGGGGTTTATTTTTTTTTTCACTTAGATGTTTCTCACGTTTAGTGTCAGACGCCCGTGTCAGGTCTTCGAGCTTGCTATAAGCACTTGCCCCCTTTCGTCACATTAAGGCTACCACCGAAGCTTTTTAGCCCTATCACTCAAGTGGCAGCATCTTCCCCACTTCGAGCACGGAACCCATCCGTCTGTCTGTATCCTTGTTTAACCTTTGCTAGTAGTTTCACAGAACCTGCAAGGCCAAAACTGTGCTCGTTCATCCGAAACCAGGGGTGACGAATAAGCTAGAAGGGCCCTATGGTTTTCTTGTGGAGCCCGGACAGAAGTTCTCAGCGGCTACACGCACTCTCTTCCTCAGAATGGTGACGTCATTGTGTTAAATATAAACGCTGTGTGTGTTAGTGTTACCTGTCCTTCAGTTTGCGCCACTCCAGATGATTCTGCAGCTCTACATGGGAAAAACATTTCGTTTCGCATTAGTCCGAAATTGACTGCACAACAGAAGAGCGGGTCGTTATCTATCTGCGAGAGCACATCTTTCTGGTCGAATAGCAGCGACAAAAGGATAACACCGTCCTTCTGCGTGGGGCCATGAGACGATGGAAGACGTGCTTCGAATTTCGTGCCGCGGACGTTTGCGCTGCGTGAGGCACACTCGCCTTAGAGGAGGAGGAACCCGTCGCCATGGAAACGTGCGTGCTCATACCAGCGGAGTTCAGCCTGGTGCTCAGCACCGCGGAGGACTCATCGAAGCAGGACAGCGACGAGGACGAAGCCGACACTCACCCGTACGACATGAAAGTGCGGCTGTGGGCCAACCAAGTCATTCCTGCCGGAAAGATCTTCTCTCCCGCCGAAGGCTCGGTGCGCCTCGATCGACTGGAAGTGTACAGCCTTCTGGGTGACAATGACGTACGTAAGCGTGGCGAAACATCCTTCATGCATGTAAACATATCTCTACATTATTAACCCGAGCACCTTTTAACGGTGTTCGCAGCATGTTCACTCGCATCGTCAATATACTATGCCGAATTTTCACTCTGAAATTATTTTAGTTTATTCGTCATAATTGAAATATTCTGCCTTGAAGAAACACTAAATTAGTTTACGGTGTAGAATTATTCTGTGAGCTCTATTATCGTTCCCTGATTTGGCAGTAAGGCATCGATCATTAGAAAAGATAATCACGGCCAGATGTATTACACTTACTATTTCGCACCCAGAGTGCAGTGCCGGAATGATAACTGACGTCACGAATTTCAGTCCTTCCTAAATGTTTAAACACCCTTGCAATGTATGAAATTTCTGTTAACATGCCTAATGTTTGGTCTCTATCAGAACATAATGTAGACCATGCTTATCGGGGGCGTAGCCAGAAAGTTTTGGGGGTGTGTGGGGTGAGGGGTTTAATCATGCTCTATGCATTTCGTGCCCACGTTAGTTCGTGTGTACTGGATGCCCCAGATATCTTTAGCCAGAGTTTCAAAATATCCCGACACGCAATTGCAACGCGACCAAATGCATGGGGCTGACTGTTGCATTGGGTTAGTCAGACTATTTTTCGTGTTCTAAAATATTGTTTATTACGTATTTTTAAAAACGAACCTTTGAAGAAATGAAGATAGATAAAAAATTTCAATGTGAGAGCTGTAGATTGGCTTGCAAAACGTCTAATTAGAAAGTTTGAAATGTTCTATATGTCAATTGTCAGTGCTTTTCTACTAACTATATGCCCCCGAAATACAAAATAATATCACGTGACAAACCCGCCTGCGCGCCAGTGTGCACGATAATTCTAGTGCTCCCTAACGTTCCGCGTACGAACGACCATAGCGTTTGCCCGAGTGTGCTGTCTCGAGAGGGCAGCAATGATGGTGGTGGCTTCGCGATGAACACGTTTTGCTACCAGCAACAAAAGCGATAGCCGCTGTGACTACTTACCTCTGTCGTAAACCGGTGCGAAGAAAGCGTATCTTTTGTACGCGGAACATTAGGGAGCATAAGAATCACGGCGCGAGTATACGCGCTAGTGCGTTTTTCACGTGGTACTTTTTTTCTATTTTGCGTGCGTTGGTAGTTAGCAGAAACACACTAATAATTAACAGATATAAAGTTAGAAACTGTCTAATCGGACATCTTGCAAACCAATCTACAACTTTCTCATTGAAACTTTTTATCCATCTTCGTTCCTTCAAAATTTAGTTAATTAAGCAGATCTAATAAACAATATTTAAGAAAACAAAAAAATGTCTGACTGATTCCAGCCAAGGATCAGCAACATGCGTTTGGTCGCGTCGTGATTGCGTGCGTCCGCATACTTTCAAACTCTGGCTGAAGATATATGGGGCACCCTGGGCAAGCTAGATATAATAATTTTGGGGAGCAAAACTTCAGCCTCCCAGCCCCCACCTCCCTTGTGTACGCCCTTGATGTTTACTGAAAAGAAAATTAGCAATATACCGATAAATATGTGCTTCGAAGGATAGCTGGCGCGCGAACTTCGAAGCGGCATCGCCATCTTCTCGTTAATGCGAATTGTTCTGGCACAAGGCTTCCGTCGCGGTATGAATGAATTTTTTATTGTTCTGTAGGAGCAATGTACCAACCCACTGCGACGTGTTCCCTACAGTGACCTTTCAAGCGCCTCTATTTTTAAATTTCTACTGGGGAACTATGGCGCGTAAGATCTCTGTTTAAAGAGCTTTGAGTTTGCTTTCATCTGCTGTTTTTTGTGTTTTTTTAGTTTGATAGCCATGTGTACATTACTTTAGGCAAGAGCCGACACTGGTTCTCACTAAATTTTGTCAGACTGGCTAAAGAAGGGGAAAAGAAAAGAGGGGGGGGGGGGGACGTATCTGCGCCTCGGCTGCCTGTGCAAGTATGCATTCACAGATTCTGCATGTGTATGTGGATGCGATCAAACAGTGAAACGTAGCAATAGATTCACAATGACTACATGGTAGAAAATCGCATGCAGTATCAGTTTGCTCATAACAAAACTTACGTACAAGCTACACAATGTTACCTGCCAGATGTTACTGCCCAACGAATGGATTCCACAATTCTACAATATATCCATTGCACGAGTCGGAGTAAACGTTATGGTTAGTTAAAATCAGTTGTAGCGCGTTTGTGCAACTGAAGACATTCCTGTGTGTAAAAAAATGTAACAATAGCAAACATTGCAGCATATATGTGCGGGAACTGACGTGAGTAAATTAGAGCTGTTGATTGCATTGAGGTATTTGTGGAATAACGTACTCTGGGCTGCTCGTTTCAATTCGAAACCTGCAATATGTTGAGAGAACGCACAAACAAGACAACATACAGGACTGTAAAAAGCAACGACTTTCCTGGCCTGATTTCGCAATTATCGCGAAGAGAATAAACTTAAGGAGTAGCGGTTCAACTCCACGATGAGAAATTAATTAGTAAATGGGGTTTTGCAAAGCAACAACTCCATATAGTCATGAGGCAGTCCGTTGTGGAAAATTCTTGATTAAGGTTTGCCATCTAACGTCCTTCAAGTCGGCACTAAATAAGAAAAAATTCTTTCATGCTAACCAAATTACTCGTTCGCGATTCCCAACTCCCCACGCCTCTGGTGAGGACACGCTTGGTAAGTGAGAAAATGCACAAAAATAAAATGGTAGCTGGCGACACCATCTGGAAATTCGCGTGCCGATCGTCAAGGCTACAAAACGTTTAACGGCGTCTTCTGGGACCTATATGGTGTTCTTAATCGGAAAATGAAAGTCGGCTGTCCTCTGAGGAGGCCAGACCTGACATACTAACTTTCAGCAAACTTCATTGAGCTAATATCACCAAACTAGAAAAACATACTTCGATATTGGTGACGTCACGCATGTATATATCCATGCGAAACTTAAAACTGAAACCTTTATTTTAATTTTATCCTTCATAAATAAACCTATAAGCATAAAGTTAGGGTCGCTAGAGTTTTCGGAATACAATTTATCAACATAAACAAGTTCATTGTTTCAATTTAGAGTCTATTTAAAGTGCACCCTATAATTCTAAATGCACGAATGCTTACGTGTTTAGCCCAACCGAAACGTGGGTGCCATGAATGGGAAATGAACCCGCATCCTATAGATTACAAAACAGACACCTTAGGTGGTGAAACGAAATGAAATATATACAAAAAAGTATAGTGATGTAATACTTTCCAAACAAGAGCTTCCCTAAATTCAGTCAAAGGAGTGCGTGCTGCATACGAGTCTTGGAAATTCCATCAGTTTTGAACACATCATTCATTTCAAATGCGAAGCATTTCTCAGCGAACTTTAGCAATTTTATCTATCTATCTATCTATCTATCTATCTATCTATCTATCTATCTATCTATCTATCTATCTATCTATCTATCTATCTATCTATCTATCTATCTATCTATATCTATCTATCTATCTATCTATCTATCTATCTATCTATCTATCTATCTATCTATCTATCTATCTAGCTGCCTACGACTTTTCGCTCTACTGGCCATTTAGATAATGGTATCAATACAAACTTGGTATGGCATAACATGACTGTATGAAGAACATGTTTGACTAGTAATGACATGAAAATCATGATATGTATGTCACGAATGTCATGATTTACATTTCATGGTTCTGCTGCTCTTGTGGTGGTTTTGTTCATATGGCATGTTGCAAAACTGGTATGGTATGACATGACTGCATGGCGAACACAAGCGACAGACCCTAACATAAATATCATGACATTCGTGTGACGTAACAACATGACTATGTTCCACGCTCATTATGCGCTCGCGGCCATTTCGCTAGCGTCACATATACCAAAGTTCGTATTACGGTACGTGAATGAAAAACGAAGGTATGTGAATAATGCAAACATTAGAATCATGAGTTGGGTGTCATGTAATAACATGACTACATGACATGCCCATGATGCGCTGGCGGCCGCTTCGCTAGCTTCACTTATACCAAATTTGGTATTACGGGACGTGAATGGATGACGAAGGTATGTGACTGGTGCAAACATGATAATCATGAGATGCGTGTCATGTGAGAAAATGACTACATGCCACTGTGAAGCCGCCAATACATTTCGACGTGACATGGCGCATGTGCTCGCCGGTGTTCATTTCGTCACGTCATGCCGGCGTTGCCACGCCAGGCGCCGGTCCTGCCATTACGCGCAGGCGCGCATCGTTGCTTTGACGCATGCGCGTTTCAGCGCGTCTGGCGTCCCTCCGTCACAAAAAGAGGGAGACACAGTGTGGTCTCGGTAACGTATCGGCATGAAACGCAGCATGTAGCATTTTGCGCCGGTTTCCGCCGGGCCACGCCGAGGTACGCTGTGCCTATAGCGTGCGCGCGCGTCAACGCTACATTGAAGTCTATTGGGCCCTTCATGATGCGCTCGCGGCCATTTTGCTAGCTCCACATATACCAAATTTGGTTTTACGTGACGTCACTGGATGAGCAAATATATGACTGGTCCAAACACGGTAATCCTAACACGCGTGTCTTGTAGGAACATAACATACGACGCTCATAGCGTGCTCGCGGCCATTTTGCTAGCTCAACGTATACGAAATTCGGTATCACGTGACGTGAATAGATGACGAAGGTAAACGACACATAAAGACATAATAATCATGACAAGGATGTCATGTACGCCATCATTTCACTCCACCTCGTAACGTTGTTCTGATTTTAAAGTGACATATCAACATTTTTCATTTGTGCCCCACATATCATCGATTCCCGCTGTACGTGGAATCTGCCAATTTTTTTTATCCGCCGCTTCACCAGGGGCAGATCCAGCCACTCATATTAAGAGGGGCGGGGAGGGAGGGACGGTCATTTGACGACATCAGAAAGGGCAGCGGGGTCCTGACTTTTTTGGTGTATTAGCACA